ATGGTAAATATTTATAACATTTGTAAAAACATAACACAAACCATGTGATGCCAAGTACTTAAACAGATGTGTGTGTGTGTGTGTGTGTGTGTAATCTTAATGTTTATTTCCAACTGAAATGATTGTGGATAGAGTGACACAGTTCTTTGCTTCTTGTGTGTTTCCTGTAATGCACAAGTTAAGTTAAAAATAAAAAAGTCATTTTAAAAGCTTGGCTGGATCCATAAAACTAAGAAAGATAAAAAAAATATTGTTTACTTTTTCTTTCATGTCAGCATTCTCATTCAAAATTTCAAGATATTGTAAGTTTTGGGGTGGTTTTTCACTACCTGATTTTTTGTAGTAATGGCCCATTTTGGGGGGGGGGTCCAGTCATGGGGCCTGAACTCGGCCTGGGAGCTATCCCTCAGCTCTTCAGCTCAAGGCTAGCGCTCTACCACTTGAGCCACAGCGCCACTTCCGGCTTTTTTCTTTTTGCTTATGTGGTGTTGAGGAATCGAACCCAGGACCTCATGCATGCAAGGCAAGTGCTCTACCACTGAGCCACCTTCCCAGCCCCTGGCCCATATTTTTCTATACTTTCGCCCTAAATATATAATCTCTTAAATTGAGGTAAGTTGGGAATTTGTAAATATTTTTCACCACTGAAAAAAGTAGCAATTTATTTTGCAGTTGACTGTATGCACAATGATTAAGATGTTCATGGAAATTTATTTTTAGATTACAAAGGGCTTCAATTGTGTGATTTTTTTCACACATCCACATCAGAAAAATTCCCAAAAGATCTACCTATCCGTATCCAAAACATTAAACATTTGAGTATTCTAAAATTTGAAATACATAATCTTTGTTTTCTTCCTTCTGTGCAGCTGAAACCACTCTTTCATATGGCCCAATTGCTTTCTTCATATACATATGTATTTATATTTGTATATACATACATCAATAGTTCTAGGAAATAACTATATATGTAACATCAATTTTCTGCCCTACAAAGAATCAGAGCATCTGCTATTTATACACTATTTCGACCATTTTAATTGTCATTTGTTTTAATATATTTTTGTGTCTTACATTAATTAAATGTACATCCTCATTGACATTTGTACAGCAATAGTACAGTACAGTACAGTAAAATTTTTCAACATTGATGGTGTGTTCTACACATGAAATTCAAAAGCTTTTCTTCAAAATTGAATTATCTCGTCACGTTGAAAAACTTCCTTGAGGAAATGAAAATTGTCCTCAACTGTGTAAACAGTAGTTATGCATTTTGTTGGAGTTAATACTTTGTCAAGTCAGTTTTGCAGCAATTTGGTCTTAGAATGAATGGCTATAGGCAAATGGCATTTCTGAAAATTGAACATGTAGCACTTTGGTCACTAATAAGTGATGGAATAGTGAAAGTATCATTGTGACAGTGACAAAGTTGAAGAAAGCATGGAGCGTATGGGATGCAGGATATATAAATTAACCTGCACAGGGTGTGTTGGGCTGGAGAATGTCATGTCTAACCTGTGGATTTGCATTGCTGCTATTGGAATAATGTTTTAAAATTTTAGAAATTATAAAGCTTGTTTTCAGAATTACATAAAAGAAATTCATAAACAAATCATTATTAAATCATTAATATAATACTAAGCAAGAGTTAAATATTGTCTCTATAGATCATTTAATTCCATACATTTTTTTTACTTAGGTTTTAAATCACGTCCCAATCTTTGTGTCTTATAAGGTTATGTAAAACTTATTCTGATAGAAAATTTCACTTTTGCAACTTGACGAGCAAAGTGAGGTAAAGAAAATAGGTATTGCCGGGTGCCGGTGGCTCATGCCTGTAATCCTAGCTACTCAGGAGTCTGAGATCTGAGGATCATGGTTCAAAGCTAGCCTGGGAAGGGAAGTCTGTGAGACTCTTATCTTCAATGAACCACCAGAAAACCAGAAGTGGCACTGTGGCTCAAGTGGTAGATTGCTACCCTTGAGCTGAAGAGCTGAAGGTCAGGCCCCATATCCAGAGTTCAATCCCCAACAGCTAACCAAAAAAGAAATAAGGAAGGAAGGAAGGAAGGAAGGAAGGAAGGGAAGGAAGGAAGGAAGGGAGGGAAGGAAGGAGGGAGGGAAGCAAGCAAGCAAGCAAGCAAGAAAAGAAAGAAAGAAAGAAAGAAAGAAAGAAAGAAAGAAAGAAAGAAAGAAAGAAAGAAAGAAAGAAAGAAAGAAAGAAAGGGAGGTAGGAAGGAAGGAAGGAAGGAAGGAAGGAAGGGAGGAAGGAAAGAAGGAAGGAAGAAAAATAGGCATTACTATGCATGATATAAGCAGCCCATTCTATTAGATCCACATTGGGAATCAACTTAGTTTTACTAATAGTTCTAGAAGAAAGTTGCGATGCACCATTTCCCACTTTTATACTTATGTTTATTTTTTCACCAATGCAAATATCTGGAAAATATAGTCCATTCTCCCATTGTCCTTTATTTCTTATAAATTTTCCTTGAACTGTTATTTTGGGTTTTATTTTGTTGTGAAGGTGATTACGGCTACATAAATCAGGTATTGAATATCTTTATTTTTGAACAGTGTCCCCCCTTCTTTTGTTTACTCTCAACTTTTTCCCTCCTGATCAACTCTGCCCCCAAGTTGTATAGTTCTTTTTCAACATAATGTCTACTGGGTATCACTGCTGAATTAGTTCACCCTTTGTCTTATCATTTCTGTGCTTCTCCTTCCATTCCCCAAATCAGACAAACTGACATATAATACAAAAGGTGCAGGATAGCATTTTGTTTTCTTTTTCCCTTGGAGAACCATACATACATTTTATCTTTGTGCCTTCCTTACAGTTCTGCTGTTTGCCGTCCATGATCCTTCTTCAAGAGCTGCTTGACCTGTTATGGTTTGACCTACACAGCTGTTTTCTTTATACTTTTCCAATTTTAGCTTTCCAAACATGGCCTATTTTCTGATACCTGATCTCTATATTATGTACCTTCTCCTGTATCAGAAAGCTAGTTTCATTCTGTAGTTGACTTCCAGCTCATTTTTATTTGGCTTATCTTCTCTTTGTTTGCATTACTGTCTTCCTTCCCATTTCCCTTTTCCTTTCTCATATTTAGACTCCACACAGAACCATGTGCTCAAAAATAAACACACTTGATCTCACACTGTAAGAGTTGTCTTCTTCCTGCTGTTTCCTTGCTGTAACTCTTGTTTATCTCCAGCTACTTTACATTGTGCCTCTCATCACAACACCAACCCCACCTTCTTTATTTTCACCTCTATTCTTAAAACTTCTAATTTCCCTTTGTTTCCTTGAGCCCCGGAGACTTCCCCATAGATGATATGCACTTCTTCTTTTACCTTAAGCCAATGAAACTGGGGACACTTTGCCTGCTCTGATGAAAGTGATAGTGTTAGATAAAAACTTTCTTTGACTCTGAGTTCTGTACAGATTTCGATTCTAAGAACTAATTTGTGTTCTTTGTTTTAATAGTAATATCAGTACAGGTGATACATATACATATGCATGTATAAATTTAATATGTATAGAACACGTCACTGAATTCCTGTAATTCCTATTTTGTAATATATTTATGGTGTATATAACACAGTCTCTCAAATGATACAATGCATTATGATGACACCCTGTGTCCTGATTGTTACTTATGGGCTCACATTTTGTCACTATTGTGCACAATTTTGAAATTATCCTCTGCTTTCATTCAGAGGCAAAGCTAGTTATCTATAAAGTAACTAACTTATCATTCCCTTGCCAAATCTCTACTTTGTACTTCTTTCACCTAAGTACAAGTCCCTGACTGTGTGATAATTTAACCATAACTATTAATTTATCCTCATTTGCCCTAAGTAGGTCACCATCTCTCTTGTGTCCACTCGCTCATTATAAAAAAGAAATAACAATGTAGAGGTTTTGACCTACTAATGGATGTAGTCTTTCTGCTGATGTTAAAAATGTTCGATTTTATGTTTGTTGCTCTGTAACCTAAATCTTTCTTTAAACCTCTGAGTAATTGAGATACTTCAGTATCAATGATAAATTTATGAAAATGGAACAAATGTTTATGATACAATATATTGCTTCTTTCTGAAAAGTTGTGCTGTGTTTTTTGTCAAACTAAACTAAACTTCTCTCTGTGCACAAGTCTTTTAGTTCTTTCTCCTTCAAAGGGGATATTCATGTTTGCCTTTCTTCTGTTTATCTTTGTATATCTTATTTGTTGTGAGTTTTAAAAAATAAAATAAGCAAAGAACCCTCCCGCCCTCACTTGTCTTTTTCTAATATTATTGTCTGTACAATCTGCTTCATTTTCCATTCCTTCTGTTTCTTGTTCTCACTCTCTATTGAGGATAATTATTAATCTTTTCCATGTCTTTTATTCAGTAAAGGAGAGAAAATGTTGGAATCAGTACCATGGTGTGTGTGTGTGTGTGTGTGTGTGTGTATCAATATATAATGGCTTTAATAGATCACCTACTTAATAACTTCATTTTTCCCTTCTCATCATTCTTTGCTCCTGTAGGCTTTTCCAGGGTCTTACCTTTAATAAAAGATGTTATTTAATGTTCATAGTAGATTTTTGTTTAAGAGAGTTAAATGTATAAAAGTAACATCCAGAAGAGCCATCCATCTTCCCTCTCTCTATATATTTTATTACATATTTTATATAATATATAAGTAGTATATTTTATATTTATATATAAATTCATAGTTATATTTATAAATTTATATTTAAACATGCAAATATGTCTAAATTTTTCTATATGAGATTTAGCCCATTTTAAAAAACAATTGACCATATTTCTTTGAAGTAAATAAGGCATCATAATGTTCTGCCTGTGTTTGTTAAATTAAAATGTGCATCATCATAGAAGAGTTCAAAGAAATAGTGAATTTATCTACATAATATCTTTGACATTAGCAAGGTACAAGAACCAGAAATAAATCACTAGATGCCTTAATAGAGTTTGCTATTTCTTTCTTTCTTAATATGGAACGCTTCATGAATTTACGTGTCATCCTCGCTCAGGGGCCATACTAATCTTCTCTGTATGGTTCCAATTTTATAGTATGTGTACTGCTGAAGAGAGCACAGATTGTTAGAATATGTAAGAAGAGACAAACCTAGAATTTCATGACTTAAAAATCCAATTTCAAACCACCCCAAGTGTGATATGTACCATTGACAGTAACAAAGCTTTTGAACTCACAGATTACTCGTACCTATTAATCTCACACAGAGCTAGGAATGTTCTAGAAAATCTCCATAGTCCTTTCCCTGCCCCCACTATTTGATTTACTTAAAGGCAGATCTCATCCTTCTATAAAGCTTTCTTTAAACACATTGCCGGATTCCTTGAGTATATGAATTGTAATAAATGTTTCCATGTTGTGGGGTGTGACATCACGGAACGTGTCCGGGCTGATAGTTGCGAGACCATTCGCAGAACAGCATGGGAGACCATGGGCCTCTCGCAGAGTAACACTGCACTTTTGCATTGTGGCAAATTGCAATCCACAGGAGATGATGGTGGCCACGGAGAGTTTCTCCTTCGTGAGATTCAGGTTAGAAAGTCGAGCACATCTTGAGTCCTATTCTACTAAAGAATGGTACAGTACGTGTTTTTGGAACCATTGCCTACGTATGGCTGAGAGAGAGAATATTGGTTCCTTTTAAGAGGATCATGCTTTCTGTAATTTTGGTTTTCTTCTCTGAGATTTTCATCCGGGTGCTTCTAGTAGAAGAAGTGGAGAAGAAGTGGTGCTTCTAGTAGAAGAAGCTCCAGCTGTGGAGCCATGTCTCGACAATCAGATAATATAACTGGGTTAGAATAGAAAAGATGTGTGTGAAACCCTTATAAGCATCTGGATCCAGTAAGCATCTTGACAACAGCAAGAGATGATCTCAAGCCCCCAACAACTGTATTGTGAAGGGAAAAGATGAGATTTCCTGATAACTGAAGGAAAAACAATTATAAAGAAAAGATGAGAAATATAGGTAGTTTAGCAGGATATGGGTGGCTCGTGTATATAATACTGAAGAGGCTGAAATTTGACAAACAAGTTTCAAAGACAGTTTCCAAATACAGGAGACATTTATTATCAATTAACCAGCACGCAGGTGGAACTGAAGGTATGGCTTAATGGTAGATTACCAGCTAAGAGCAGAAAAGCTGACAATACCAGCACACACACACACACACACACACACACACACACACACACAAACACACATTATATATCCATATATCACAAATATCACAAATAGCAATGCACATCTGAGGTGAGCATTTTCTCCTGCCTAAAATTAAGGAGATAAGTAAAACCAACTGAAGGACTCTGTAGAGACCTCTGCATTGAAGACATTCACAGAAAGTGTTTCTGAAAAGATACTGGTAGATTTCTTTCCTTAATTTTCTTACTGCAGGTGGGGAAAAACATACTGTATTTATGATAGTTAGAAGAGAAGTAATGATTAATATAAACAACTCTTTCTGTTATTTTAAAGACTCGTCTTTAAGCAGTTTCAGAGAGAAAGATCATTTCTTTCAATAATATACTGGCTTTCCCTAAACCATGTGACTAGCCACTGCATTAATGTTCAGAAAAAAATCAAGATGTATAAAAGTAGCTGAAATAAAATATGAAAAATCATAAAAAAATCTTCTCAGAAGGGAAGGAAAGAGACTTTTCTTAAGCATTAGGACTCATGTTTCCCATTAAAGAACAAGGAAATGTGACTGATACTAAAAAAAGTAAGCAGACTATAGTGTACGTATGACAATATATATTGTAATTTTTTCTGTATGTTTGGTCCTTGTTGAATGTTTAATAAACCCTGCTCAATTCTCAGTGTGAATTTGGTTACTTAGAATTAAATTTATGATTATTTTATTAAAAACATTTAATTGATTTTTTTCTAGAGATTAACAGTATAGGTCATATGAAAAAGAAGAGTATATTTTACAAGTTTACCAAACCATTCTGGAACAAAATATGTGAAAATTAGAGAATAATCTTACTTCTGTTTATTACATGTTTTTAAAATGTTTTATTTCTTTTTAGATGTGCCAACCATTGCACTCCATATTCCAATAGTCCATTGCACTCCATATTTCAATAGTTCGGAGTTTTTTGGGGTTTTTTTGGTAAGAAATTAGGTCAATATATGTTAGAATTATGTTACTCTTTAAGAAACTATCATTTTCTGACATATAATTTGTAACCTGGACAATTTTGACCCCTTCTACTATTTATTGTATAGATTTATTTTATTTAGCTGCTTTCTGTTGTACATGTTTTTAAAAATTCCATTTTAAGGTTTGATAACAAATAATTTTTACATTTTAACAAAACTATCAACAATGAAAAATAATTTTGATTGTCTCTTTAACAAATTATTTTGAATGTCTTTTACTCTTGTACATGAATGTAAACAACATTTGTAACTAAGCCTTCCCAGAGGTGGGACCATATTAAGTATTTATTGTAATTGGTATGTGATTGAAAGAAATGCTTGTCTTTTCAGATCTGGCCCTTAAAATCTCTTATACTGATGTCCAGGTCTTTGTTTATTTTCCATTATTTTCCAGGTTGTTGCAAAGTTTACAGTTGAGGATGCTAGGAATGTAGAACTTTGATTGTCATTTTTTAACAGAATATATGTTATTTGTTCATCATATTATTTATAAGCAGCCCTTCAAAAGCATGCACATGCCTTCTTTAAAAGCTATATTTAAATAGTTTGAAGGCCACTTTTTGTTTTTTGATTGTTGCTCAAGAGGATTGTAAGTAAACTACATGACATTGCCTGAATTCTTGAATGACTCCTTGAGCATCCTTCTTCTTACTCCCTGGCAACCCACAGGGAACCATGCCCTTAGCCGCCAATGAACTCCCTGATGTTGAAGTTTAGTTTTTATACCAGTTATTTTATCCTGTTATAGCATTTTTATCTAATGCTTAAAGCTACTATGATCTAATCTGAAATTGAGCTGAAATTTTCTTTCCATTCCCTCTTAAATTTTTGGTGCAATAAATGCCAAATGTTTACAGTTTTAAGACTGTTTCCTATTGAGTTGACCACCCTGTCTATATTTAGCATTTCTTAGCATTTCTAAATTTATATCACATCCAGATTCCTAGTCAGGGAATACGCTCTAATTTTCCTTCTATTTGATAACATCTTCTGGGATTCAATTATCCAAACTGTGTTTATACCAGTAGAAAGTCAGAAGACATTCGGTATCAAGTAATATGAACCTGCCATTTGTGAATACTAAATACTTTAATGCTTCCTGTAAGTAGTCCTATCACTCAAACACACAGATGGGTTTATTACTTTTCTGTTTCTGTCATCAACAAGAAACTGTCTCTGCAGTGAGAATAAATTATATCAGGCAGCTATTCTGCTAGTTAGACTGGCCTTTCTGGATATCCTAGAAAGTTTAGGTGTATAGGTTAGAAAACTAGACAAGATTAACAATTCACATTTAAATACCATTGGATGAAATCTCAACTGGAAACATCATGACTGCAACCAAAGAACACACAAACTCCAAGACAATATAAGTGCTTGGAATCAAATAGAATCTTTCCTTTTGCTTCTGTAACAACTTAGGGATTTAATTCAAGACAAACATACTATCTCACAATTTCCATGGGTGAGGTGATGAGTACTTATCAAGTAGCTCTTCTGCTTAGCACAGTCTGAAATCAAAGTTTCAGCCAGCATGTCAATCCTTTAGGAAGTTTGCAGAGCTCTTCCCAGCTCTCTGGCCACCAGTAGACTTAATTTCTTTAGTTTTGTAGGACTGATGTCTCTGCTTTTTCATAGACTATCAACTCAGAATCACTGTCAGCTTCAAAAGGTCACCATTTCCCAATAGTAGTTCGCAAAAGTAACCATCTAGCTTGTTCTTCAAATTCTGCACAAGTGAATGTGTCTGTGTTTTGCTGTGTCTGTTTTTTTGTTTTGTTTTGTTTTTCTGCTTCTGGATGGAGGAAGTTCTGCTTTAAGCATCCTTGTGATGAGATTGCTTCCACTTGCATAATATTAGATGATTTTTCTTATGGTCTATGACATCTAACAAATCTCTCTAATGTTGCTTTTTGTTTTTTTTGGGGGGGGGGTCCAGTCGTGGGGCCTGAACTCTGGGCCTGGGTGTTGTCCCTCAGCTCTTCAGCTCAAGGCTAGCGCTCTACCACTTGAGCCACAGCGTCACTTCCGGCTTTTTTTCTTTTTGCTTATGCGGTGCTGGGGAATCGAACTCAGGGCCTCAGGCATGCAAGGCAAGCACTCTACCACTGGGCCACCTTCCCAGCCCCTGTTTGTTTTTGTTTATATCTAAGCTGAAATGCCATTTCTAGGATTTAGGGTATGAAAACTTAAGAAGTAGACCATTTTACCTACCAAACAAGGCTTGATAGATAAATCAAAAATCCAAGGACACTTTTTAAAGATACATTTTGCCAGTTTTGTGTCATCTGTTCATAAATCATCAAACTTTCTAAAGCAATTATTTCAAGTCATAACTTAGACAAAGAATATATGATTATGATTCAAAAATTATCATTTTGACTACCGAATTCTCATCCATTGGCTTGTATTGACAGCTAATTTGAAAGCCTTTCTATCTTTTTACCCTGTTTTGCATAATGGAAATTGAACCCACTGCCTCACAGTTTATTGGACGGATGTCTTAGCATTTGAGGTATGCCTGAGCCCCTTCAGTATGGTTTTGTTGTGAAATGGTTTAGCCTGTTTTACTGGTGATAAAGAAGTGTTGTGCCTAATGTTGTAACACTATGGAGCAGAACAGGAGGGGTGTTTTCCTGGCTGACTTACAGAATGAGCCAAACAGTCTGCTTATACAGCCAGAAAGTAAGTGTGACAAGGCTGTGTGCACCAGTCACAGAATTCCTCCAGGCAGATGTAGACAAGCTTTCTGTTGAGCTACCAGTGGAAGTTTCTCCTGACTGCATGGGTAAAAGTGGTTGCTGGGAAATTAAGACATCACTGAAAAGAGACATGCTGAAAAGACTGGTACAACCTATTTCAGACAATGCTAGCCCGGTGCTTTCAGGAACCAGA